GTCCCACTATTTCCAATTGCGAACAGTATTGCGTTAACTAGCGTAGAAAGCGATTAGTTACGGTTCGCTGCGAGTCAATTATTTAATTAATTCGAATCGAAAACGGATCAAATATTTCGAACTGGCATTTACATTTAATCAGCGCTCTAATTTTCGCAGCTTATTTGCTCTTTAAAAACAAACATCATAATATGAATGCCTCGGCTTCGTAATAATATTCTTTTACTATTAATATTATTTTTTATTTCTGGCTGGAAGAAAACAGAATGATACATATTTTTAAATATAATTTAATTAATGTTGTCAACGAAATTATGCTCATGTACGTCGCTGTTATGCTCAAATTAAAAAATTTCTGTTACATCCGCTGACAGCAATCGTTTAAATGACGAATCGCAAATTACAAATTAATTAGAGTGCAGATTAAATATACATTACATTTTGATTAAACTTTGCTTTAAATACGCGATTAAGGCTCGTTTCTACCAATGTAGATTAACTTTAATCTCAGTTCAACTTACTCTTTATCTTTTTTTAATTCTCAGAACTGGAAAAAGATGAAGAGTTAGTTAAAACCGAGATTAAAATTAAACTATTGGTAGAAACGGGCCTTAATCGCGTATTTACAGCAGAGTTTAATCAAAATGTAATGTATATTTAATCTGCACTCTAAAATTAATTTGTAATTTGCGATTAATATACAGAAAACTCGAGATAATCATAAGAAATTTACGAGTTTAAAAGTCTTAATTTTCGCGACCGATGATTCGTGTACAGTCATTTCTAAATACATTTGCGTGCGTCGAATGCATATATGTAATTATACATGTCCTATTGTCTCGCACCGACAAATTCCGCAAAGATAAATACTTGTGACGATTTAATCGCCACAAATTAATAACAAAAATGCATTAAAACTCAAATGTAAAATCCAATTTCAGCTACAAAGTGTAAAGAAGCTCGGAGTTCGCTGATAACCGAAAAAACCGCAGATTCCGAGCGTCTAAAGGGCCGTCTACATAAATCGCGAACGCAGTTCGCAGACGCATTTGCGACAGCCAATCAGAAGCGTCAATGGTATACTAATAACAGCTTTTCATTGGCTGTCGCAAATGCGTCTGCGAACTGCGTTCTGCGTTTGCGACTTATGTAGACGGCCCTTAAAGGCGCCTTCCATTTATCGCACCTCTCCTGCCCGAGCCCTGTGTGCGCCAGGCACCGTGTCTCTTCGAAAATAAACAAGGGTGCTCCTTCGCGATCGTCGATCCAATTAAATCCGATTATATTTTTCGCCGCGGCGCGTTCTACCCCCGCCCCCCCTCGCGAGAATCCAGACCGCGGGACGCGCGTGCGGGGCGCGCGAATACCGGTGGCGTCCCTTATCGATTCGAAACGATTTTGGAGGGTGGTTTTACCCTCCGACGTTTTTGATTTCGGCTACGCGGCCTCCGTGATACCGGGGCAACGCTTCGCCGCTTCGAATTAAGGGGTGAGCCTCGAGAGGCCTAACCCCAGGATCGTTTCGAAGAGAGACAGAACGCTGGATGCGCGGGGTGAAGAAAGGGGGGGGGGAGGAGAGAGAGACCGGAGGGGACGAATAGACAAGAAGGGATGCGGAATCGAACGGGTCTCTTCTTCTCTCGATGTTTATTTTTTACTTCACGAAAGAGCCATACGCGCGCCACGCCGGATGCGCACCCCATACGGTCCCCGATCCCGAAATTCAATAAATATGGCCCCGTTGAATAACGGGTGTTAGATACGCCTGGCGTTCCTGGAGAGACTCATAATATGGGATTATTGCCGTAGCCTTGAAATCCGCGACGAATCGAGAGGAGTAACGTTTGCGGAATGAGCAAAAAGAAAACGCGAATTGACGTATCTGCGCTAACAAGAGCTGAAACGCGGGCTTTGCGATACAAAGAGAAACTCTGTAACGGAATATTTATCGAATTCGCCATACGGATAATGGAATTGTGAAGGTTCAGTGGCTTCATTTAAAGCCAGCCGTATTCTGCTCAAAGAGATTTCCTATTGAGTTGAGCATTCAAAAGTTGCGGGAAAAAAATGTAATATCCAATTAAATTTTCTCCTGGAAAATACTGACTATGAATTTGATTAAAGAATTCGCGCGATCGTAAAGCGTGACGATATCTCCAAATAAAGCTAATATTTTATGTGTCATATGGTGAACTTTTTTAACTGATTGGCTGCAGGACAGAGAAATCCGAGAACCTCTCTGTTATGCATCCAATCAACAGACTTGAAAAACCTTGTTATACGACGCATAAAATATCAGCCTTACTTTGTATCTCAACGGCAGGAAAAATTGCGGACTTTGAAGCATCACTACAGATTATGTTCCGAAACACAATAGGTATAGTAAGCTTTAAGGGCGCCGAGTAAAAAAATTAGTTGCCATGATATTGCAATCGTAAAGTGATAGATATAAGTTTAATATTCAAGGCAATCTCTCCTCGTTGTACAGTCAAAAGTAATATGTTGCCCGCAAGTTGCAACGGATTAGCCAGCTACAGAGCTATTTCTCCATCTCCGTCCATTTAATTTTGCAATCGTAAACACGTTACTCATATTTAGTCTATTACAAACATGGCGATTCCAATAGAGATATTTGATCAGCTAATGTTGTTCTAGCTCTCTATACTTCCTAATATCATGCTTGATATTAAATTGAAATATATGAACTTTACATAAAAGGGAGCAAAATAATTTCTCAATTAAGCCACGCAACGTATATCTATTGATATTTTTTGTATATTGCGTTTGTATTATAAACATATAATGGTAATTATAATTCAAATTTTTGCGTAATTTTTTTAATCAATGCAATTTGGATTAAATATCGGTTTTTTTTCTAAATTTAACAAAATTCCAAATTAATTTAAACAAAGAAATATTCTTTTTAAAGTTTCTCACAGAGTAATATTATGTACTCAATAAATTTTGATAAAACAGTATTTTAAGGAATAATGTTCTATGGAACAAATAAAAATACAAGAGAGAACAAGAGAAAGAGAGAAAAAGAGAAAGATTTTACCGTTATGTTTATATTCATCATATCATACTTCATCTAATATACAGTAGTATACTTGGATGTTATTACATTAATGTACTACGTGCCCTAATTCCTGTACAATGATATATACAATAGTATTACGGTCAATTCATTCACGCAATCACACAACAGAACGGACATTGGTATACCTATCAATCATTTGCAGAATCTCATAGCATCCGCTTTCATCGCAGAACTCGTATATACATATCTCCAATCACGTAATTCTGCTTGGCTTTAAATCTCTCTCTCACTCTCTCTCTCTCTCTCTCCCTCTTTCCCAACGATTATAATATGCATAATTATCAAAATCCGTATAACTAAATTCAAACTCTTCGAAAATGCATCCGCATTTGCACACACAAATTCGCATTCCGTCTCGGGATTAAATTGCTGTTATACATCACGTGGTTTGAATAATCGTTAGTATCCAAGCGCCCCTAACTTCGATTGAGGCTTATTACTCAACAACAGACTAACCGATACATTTTAGTAAAACGATTTATCGGACTAAACTAATGAACTGGAAGTACTTTAGTTACCTTATTTAATAGAAGGAACATCATTCTATGGAAATAGTTGTGTGCGTGTATATATACTTTGAATTAATTTTCAATTTATATAACCAAAATTCAAATTAAAGTATAAATTTTGAGCTGACAAGCTATCCAATAAAAATAAAATATTGTATGACAAGAACGATTTTGCGCAGAAGTATTTAAATATTTAGCTAAATACTGATCTAAAAATAATTTTGTTAGACAATCAAAGTAAGTAATCATGTAAGAACCTCAAATATGACAAACAATGCTGTAAACAGTTTTGACATTCTAGCAATCAATTTGAACATTCTGCATAATTATTTTAATCGACAAAATTATTTTTAAACCTGTATCTAGTTAACTTGTTAAACGTTTCAGCAAAATCGTTCTTTCCATATTACGTTTAATGATGTTATTCAATTACGTTCCAATTTTTAATTGTTCAATTTAGGACATTATTCTATCCGCGTAGATTAAATATGTTTAATCCGAGAGTAACCCATTGCAATAAGTTGCCCAGATAGACAGATGTACATCAATTTTACTGCAACTTTATGTTGTATTCGATCATCAAATGCTTCATAGGTGAGCCGATTGTGATTCCAAATATTGTAGTCGTATTTAGTAAATTAGAAAACGAAATACCATGATGCAAATATGATGTAAATATGAGAAACAAATATGCTTTCTACGACATCACATCAGGATTACAAATTCTTTTAACAAGATTCAGTGCATCAAGATCAACATCTATTTACCCAAATTTTACAGTATATTTATCTTACTTTATGCGGCATAAAATAAAAAAAAATATTTTAATTATTTAAGCTTTCTATAGCATCACATAATAATTGTAAATGTGCATCATTATATGACGTATTTCATTTAATTATGTATGACGTAAATATTTCATATAGTGATATCGAAAAAAGAATATTATAAATCTAAAGATATATTTTCATACATATGTTTTTGTAATTCTATAACAAAAAATTTAATCATTCAAATAACCTAAATTTAATATTTACTTTAATATAAACGTTTTTGCTTTAATGATGTCATAAATGATCATAAAATTGTTCTAAATTTTCAGTAAATTAATTTGTGCATATCGTGATCGTCATACAAGTCTATCTGGGTGATGTACAAACGCATTAAAACAGTTTATGTAAATGAAACAAACATAGTAATGTTTCAGACCAAATATTACAATGACTGCGTCCATTAGATTTTATCCGCAACATATGCAGCCAATCGAGAGGTGTTAATTTTTAGATAATTCAATCATTGCTGCCTAAATTGAAGAACGCATTAATTCTGAACGACACGCGTTGAATTTCTTATTAGTATTGAAATGAGGTAATTGAATTAGTATCGGAAACCTTTGCACTCGTTGGCATCCCTGGCGGTGGCCCTAGCCCACGGGCGATCGAAGTGGAAGGGCCGGCACCGCTCGCAGTCCCTGCCAGCGGTGTTGTGCCTGCACTCGCAGACGACCTCGCCGTCCTTGCCGGGGATGCAGCGCGCCGCGTGTCCGTTGCACTTGCACCTGCCGCCCACGGCGAAGTCCGAGACCGCGTAGTGATGGGCCATGGTGGCGGTAGCCGGACCCAAGCCGTTCATCGCCACGCTGGCGAGCGTGGTCGTGGTCGTGGAGATGGTGACCGGCACGAAGCCCATGTCTCGGACCGCGGCGTCGATCGCGTCGTTCGACTGCATCTCTTGGGGCGCGATCACCTGATGGACCGACGGTAATGCCGTTACCAGCGGATCCTGCGCGTGCAGGATCGCGTTCTTCTGGTTCTTGAGCCGTTCCTCGCGCTCGCGTTCTCGCTTCGTCAGCTCCTCCAGCCCGATCGCCGCCACGTGATGCTCCTCGCCGTTGTGCGATACCTGATCCGGGCTAGATTGCTGCGGCATATGCAGCCGGTTGAATACCACCCGAATATCCGTCGCGGTCACCCAGTCCTGTAGTACCGGTGAGTTGTCGAAGTCGGCAGCGGATGGTCGACCTTCCAGAGTGCTAAAGGCGATCCTGCCGACTGGACCGAGACCATCTCCGCCGGTGTAACGATGGCTGTCGGTACACCGCGCTTCTTGCTCGTTCGCTTTGGTGATAGTCGCGCGATTGGGCCTGCCATAGACCCGGCGGCATTGCGATGAGTAAAACTGAAACGGTTGCCAGGTCTTGCCGTAATCCATGGACTTGTAGATCGCGATGGAGTCCGGCTTGGCGGCGCGCGGGCAGAACTGCAGACTGACGTACGTCAGCTCGTATTTCTTGCCGAGCGAGAGGGTCAGGGTGACGTTGTCGGGAGGCGCCGAGAAGCTCTGCGAGCTAACGAGCGGCTCGCTGCGCCAGCAGGTGACGTTGTTCGGATTGTTAAGGTCGGTCAGATAGCTGGCAGGGAAACGTCGCCGGGGCGTGCTATCGTCGCACACGTGACAGTGACCGATGCCGGTGGTGCCGCCGGGCTCGTCGGTGACGTCGCAGTAGCGGGTGGGCCCACCGGTGCCGCACGTGGACGATGCCTCGACGGTTGCGCCGAAAGCCGCATTCACGAAATCGGGTATGCACCGCCGTGGCCGATCCTCGTCGTAGCACGGATCGCTGGGGTTCTGCTGGCTGGAGAACATCTTGGTGTAGATCTCGCCGCGGACCTGCTGCAGGAGCAGCAGCTGGCCAAACAGGACCGTCGCGAGGACGATCCATGGCCGGAAGGATCGGCGTGAGCACCGTTTCTCCGTGCTCATGCTGCACGCCGTTGGCAAACGCCGTTCCATTCTTCGCGTTCTGTTGTGTCTCTTTGCGGAGGTGCGCTACGATGATCGTTGACGATTTCACGATTTCACGACCACGAGAAGATTCTCACGTCTCCTCGTCTCTTCCCTCCTACCTTCACTTTCCCCTCTATAGAAAGGGGGACTGAGATGCGATCGGTTCTAGACTCCGCTTCGCGTCATGTTGAAATCAGACCACGTTTAATTTCTGTCGTTCGTCTCTCTCTCTCTCTCTCTGAATCCGTCTCTGTCACTCGCGACGGCTCACATTATATTGGCACTGGCCAAGACTTGAAACGCGACACGATGATGAATTTATTTAACTATACGCTTAGTCTCGCGAAAAAGATAAACGCACTGTTCACACTGAAACTAAGACTGCTGTCCAAGGAGCCGCCTGACTTTATCACTCGAAAAGTTTTTTTTTTCTCACTTAACAGACCCACGAATTTTTCACCCTACGATCGTCGAAAACGCGTCTCGAGCCGAGCAACGAAATGAATTAACGGACGAATTTTCTGGCGCGAATAAGCGAAGGAGGAATTCGATTGCGATCGGACACCGGCGAAACCGGCGATAAAAGCACCCTACCTCGACAGCGGCTCGCCGCTAACTGAAACGCCGTCCTCGCACGATGCGCATCCGAACTCCGAACTGCCGCGAGTCCCTCTCCGGTGGTGGGCCCTCTGCGCCCCGCAGCCCCCGATGCGTGCTACTCCCCCCTTGACCCCCTCCTTTCATCTCCGTTCGACCAACGACTCGTCACTCTCGCTCGCACGCTTGCGAGAGATCGCGCGGGCCAATCGGACGAGACATTGGCCTCCCCGCTCACTCAAGACTGGTCCATGGATCGTGGATCCAGCGCGAAGGGATGTTGCGCGTGCTACCATGGACTGAAAAACGGTGGACTGACTCCGAGGGTGCTTCCCTCGAGGGTTAGGACGGGACAGGCGCGTGATTTTTCTTGTTTCCTTTATTTCGCTCGCGTTTCGGCGGCTTCAAACGTTAACCTGTTGGCTCGTTTGGGTTTGGGATTTGCTTCTCGATTGCACGAGGTTTTAATTGAGAACGAAGACGGCTGTGAACTGGTTAATGAACACTACCTTTCTTTTTTTGAAATGACAATTTTCGAATATGTCAATACCGAAAGATTTTTTTTACTCTCTAAAATCTTTGTTATCGAACTCTAGAGTGAAATTATTTCACTCTTATAGAAATTGATAATTGAGCAATTCTTTTTCAAAACTGGCTTATCACTCTTTTGTTATTCTTTAGAATTAGATTCCATTCCAAAGATTATAGAGAGTATGCTCTTATAAAAAAATGGCTTATTTATCTAATACATCTTTTTTATAATTTATCTTTGTACGGAAACTCTTCAAGTATTTTTCCATGATTAGGGTTTATATATAATATGTATATGACGTATAACATTATATAACGTTAATCTGCTATGTCTTTGTTAGTGCACAATGTATATTCGCATTAGTTTGCCTACTTACTATTGCATGGTGCACGTACATTAGTTTGTGTCCTCCTATGTTACGCTACCGTCGCTTCTATATATACTCAGGCATAATATTGCTCGTGTAATCCATTTCCATTTACACCGCAACCTACTACTGAATACCATCTCCATTGATTAATTTGAGTAATGTCTTGATTAACCGAATTTAGTTAACAAGAACCGTCTTGTATTTCCAAATTACAATCTAAATTCTAAAATATAAAGTACTAAAACATCAAAATTTGTTACTTTGCTAAGATTATATCGTCACACAACATCAATATATAATATCATAAAAATGCAAATATGCTACGACTACTATTGAATAATTAATGTAATTGATCGATTGAATAATAAGCAGATACATATTCAGTTGGAAATATATGATGTATTTCAAATATCAAAATACATTCAATGAACAGAAGTGATTTCTCCCAGAAAGATATAATTGGATATTTTTTTCTGTAGTGATTCTTATTGTTAAGATGATAGCACACAAAGTGTTTAAGCATAGCATAGCTAGTATAGAAATGTCTGGATCAATGAGCATGTTATGTAAATCAATATGACACTTCATGCTCAATGATTCAGGCAGTCTTATACTATGCTACGTTATGTTATGATTATGCAGTTTGTGTGCTATAGCCTAAGTTTGCAGCAAAATATTTTGATATTTAGAATTACAAATAAAAATGGTAGAAAAAAAACTAGAAATTTTGAATAAATAATTTAATAAAAAGCAATCAAAAGATAATTTAGATTCCTTCTATTTTAACAACTAACAAATAAGGTTACCATACACGAATCGGCGCTGTTATTTGTGAGCTATAATTATAGCGTTCGAATAACAGCGCCGATTCCTATAATAGCCCTATTTCCTTTGTTAGTTGTTCAATAAAAAACTGTTTTTTTCCTTGATCCTTGAACATTTTTTTACTGGGATATATTTTTTGGAGCATTTGACAGCTTTGACGCTGTACTATTATCCTAGAATTCCGTTTTTGCATTCATCCAAAAGTTTTCTCTGAAAAGATAGCTATAAAAGTCAAAATGAAGTATACTGACACTAAATGGCAGTAGGTACACTACTATTCATAATTGTTTAGACGATATTTTTTACTGTATTCTCCGATTTTAAAAGTTAAGTAAATGTTTTAGACTGTTATTACCACAAATAATACTTTATTAGAATAATTGACGCTGCTTTTGTTATATATTTGTTACAATTGTACATATTCTAAAATACAAATTAGTGAAGCAACGTTTATTGAACTATCTCTAACTATTCTTAAATCAATATTATTATATGTTATTGCTCAATTAAAATTTAAAATACGTACAACTACAACCAATATACACTACAAAGCAATGTCAATTATGCTAATAAAATATTATCTATGTTAACAACAGTATGGGTCATTGCTTATCTAGCTTTTAAAATTGGAGTAAAATGTAAAATATCTGTCGTTCAAGTAATTATAATAACAAAATTCTCCTTTTACAATCGCTCATAACCTGACATTAAATTATTGACATTCTAACATATCTTGGATAAGAAAGTATTATCTCAGTTCTCGATTATACGATCACCGTCCTGTTCAAGAAATACGTTATGGAACATCTCGTATAAAAGTTACTAATCAAGGTAGACGCAAACAGCATCGATGAATTAACAATCGAATGTTCATCAATGGGACATGTTCATTCAAAGAATCGACCGCCTCGAGCGGGTCGTAAAGAATCGCTCGCTTCTCTACCTTTCTGCTGCAAGAGAAAGATCTTCGAGGAATTTATCAGCGGATTATTTCACGGCGATCCCCGCGGGCGAGAAGGCACCTCTTCCGTCGATTTCGTCGGGAGAGGACCCGGTCTGCCTGCGTGCAGAGCTTATAGAGCGAGTTTTCTGCCGCTCGATTGGTCGGCGCCGTCGAATTGGCGGTCGAGGAAGAAAAAAGGAAAAAAATGCATCAGACGAGAGGATCAGCGGGAGAGAGAAAGGAAGAAAGAGGGAGACCGACGAGGAGGGAGGGAGTGAATGGAGAGAGAGGAGAGCGACGTCTGTTGCCGTCACGCGAACTCCTGTTGGACCGCAACGTGGAAAGGCCTCGTTGGCTCGTCCGACTTGACAGCTCGAAATCTGGTATCGGATACGATAAATATAGGTCCTGGGGAATTAAGTCAGAGCCGCGGATCTCTCCGCGGCGAGCGTGAATCCGGTTGATCTAAAGTATTCGTTGTGTGCTCTTTTCTCCCTGTAAATCACGCAGTTTCGGAGCCTCTTTTTTATTAACGATGATTTTAGCGTTGATAGAGTGCCATGCCTTCAGCAGTTCAGCACCTTCGCGACTGCTCGTATATTTTTAGAAGTAGTATATATTCTCGCCTTATTAGAAAATTGTTTGTCCTGGAATCAGGCGACGTTGATTATTATGTATCTGCTTATTAATTATGCTACATCTACGCAGTCCGATAATTTTATACGTACGTTGTACGATTATTATTTTAAATAGCACGTTCGTCCATAATGTGAATCGTTATAAAAAGATATATGTTAATTCATACATAAGAGAAATATATAGTAATAGAATTTATATAATTTTAATAATAATTCTCCAACAATAATTAAATTTCTATAATTCCAATTATTGCCATAAATTTATCTCAATGGAACCTTAATTTACAAAATTTGATTTGCAGAGAGTCGTACGCTCAATTATTTTTTAATGCAAAACTGGACTCGAAAAAGATTGCCTAATCCACTTCCGACGAGAAATACGGAGTCTAGTCTAAATCTGTAAAAGTATAAAATATAATACATCTCTAAATCTATGCGATTTTGTAGTGTGAGGTCAAAAGTGCTGACACAAACGCGATAGCGCGACATGTACTCGCGCGAGATGAAAGGCGCGTGAAAACGAAGAGTCGTTTAAAGGCGCCCTGCAGTCTAACAGAAGGCGTCTTTTACGCCAAAAGACCGTCCTCCAGGCAAAATATCCAAACGTTCCGTACCAGAAGCAGGCGCGCAAGAAACATAATTATGGCGTTCGGGCGCAGGTGGTGGCTGGAATGCTTTTCACAGGGCGCTACCTCGTCGCGTTAAAACGCGCTCTTCTTTCGGCGGCCTTTCGCCTTTGCGTTCGCCGTCAAAAATCAGGAGGGAAGGTTATTTAGGATGTATACGAGAGGCGTTCTCGCACGCAAAGGAATAACTCGCGACTGAAATAATAACGCTTAATAATATGACACTCGAAAGGAGAATCTCATTCGCATTTTCGATCACAATGCTCGACAATTTCTTCTAGAGATACATTGTTATTTATGAAAGAAGATCGAAATATCACGCAAACGCGACATACTTGCACTGATAAAAAATGTATTGAATTTTAATAAATAATTGTGTAGGCATATTTCTATTATAAGTATTTGGTTGTCGTTCTAAAAAAAACGTTCGAGAAGCGTTTCTCGCGCGAACCTGTCGCAACACTCGCAACAGGAAAATCCCATCGCAATATAATAACTGATACGCGGGCTCCCTAAATCGCGAGGATTGGCTATCGGGAAATCGCCCGATCGTGTATGATTGGGCCAGGGGCCCTCACCCCACCTTGTTGGCGTCGCGCGGCCCTCGCGATCCGCGCGGAGTCGGTCGCTGTCCAGCAGGCCTATTCCGCCTATTCTGTAACTCTTAACTTCACTCTTAACGTTAGGCGTCGTCTACAATACACGGAGTAAAAAGTAAGAGTAAGAAATTGACTAATCACAGTCGATTATTCTTCTCACATTCGACTGTGATTGGTCAATTTCTTACTCTTACTTCTTACTCCGTGTATTGTAGACGGGCCTTTCTTCTACAATCCACGGAGTAAGAAGTAAGAGTAAGAAATTGACCAATCACAGTCGAATGTGAGAAGAATAATCGACTGTGATTGGTCAATTTCTTACTCTTACTTCTTACTCCGTGTATTGTAGACGACGCCTAAGTTTCGTTGTAATTTTTTATCTTTCACCATGATAAAAAAGCTGCGCAGAAGCATTATAATGATAACGAAGTTTGCGTTAAGAGTTACAGAATAGATCTGCAGGGACCATC